ATGGATTCTTGTTTATGTCCACACTAGCATTTTAGGTCTATAACAGATACAATGCTAAGTAAGATACTGCCCCTGCCTTCAGGGAGCCCTGGGAAAGTAAAGCAAGTAGACAAGTACAAAGATTATGAGGCAAAATGTGGTATGTTGTAAGAAAGGGAAAAAAAGCTTGGTCTTAAATGAAATAAAGAAAAGGCTCCTGAAATGGATTTAAATTGTTCAAGGAGAAGCCAAGGAGGAGATTGTGGCAGGGTGGATGGGTGGATGGTGGTGAGGACACAGAAGAATTAAGACAAATATAAATACAAGAGGGTTGGAGATATTTAAAGAATATCAGATAGCAGGTTGTGATTTGGCTGCAATGTGGAGTGTATATAGGGAAACGACGGCCAAAAATGAAGAAGGATGAAGCAAAATAATGGAAGAGGAACCCAGTTAGGAGGCTAATGCATTAGTCTAAGTTGGATGTAAACAGTGCCCACACTAAGTGTTTTCAGAGGGGAGCATGTCACTGTTAATTAGAGGGTTTGGTATAACAAGGGGAGGGGGGGGAACTTAAAATGCGTCTGGGCTTTCTTAATCCTGGATGACTGGATGGTGGTACCATCAAAAAAAGTAAAGTTAGAAAAAGAAAATAACTTGAAGGGCAATTATTATTTTGACTTATCTGCACAATTTGTGGTGTCTGTGTAGTGTTCAAAGAGAAGTACATAGCAGTGAGAAATAGGAGTCTGAAGAGTGAAAGAAACTGAGTTAAAGATTTGGTAGTCATACGCAGAAAGGTAGTGTGCTTGAAACTGCTAATTGTGAGAGTGGATTCATGAAAACAGTAGATGCCTGGGAAAATGTCTATAATTAGAAGGTGGCAATGAAATGTACTTCTTTAATATAAGAGTTTTAGGGTTCAGTCTGCTGTCTTCTTTTCTATACACTTCTAGATGCTTTCACAGACTACCTTCCACTAACAGCTCTCGTTTAATGACAAGCCTATTCTTTCCTTAAAGCTCTCAGCTTCTATTTCATAGCTAAACTCTCATCTTGAGTGTTATTCAAAACACTAAGCAGATTTTTAAAAAAATCCTCATTTGCCTTATAATTTTCATTTCATATTCTTCTTTTGAGTCTCCAAGTAAATAAATACTCCTTTTTCTCCCGGGATGCAGAATTTTACCATATGTCCTATGATGGCACTGTCCTTTAGTTCTGCTTAAATGAGGATAGTATCCTTAGCCTTCTGCACCATTAATTTGTGTGCCAATAGATACCTTCCATATCCACACGTGCAGTCTAGACCCTATTTCTGGTAAACTGCAAGCATTCTTTTAATGCTGCCTGCAGGAACAGGACTATTTTTTCCACTTAGCTTATCAGTTCTCACACTAGGAAGAGAATCTATGAGTCTGAAGTAGTTCAGTTAGTTATTCACTGGCTATATGCATTAATTAATGAAAACTACAGTCTCTGACATGTACTATTTCTAGGGATTTGTCCCGTCTCCAACCCAGGTAACAGTACTTTCTAAAATACCTTTAAAGGTACTTTCTAAAATACCCTGTGTGGGGCTTCCCTGGTGGCTCAGTGGTTGAGAGTCCGCCTGCCGATGCAGGGGACACGGGTTCGTGCCCTGGTCTGGGAGGATCCCATGTGCTGCGGAGCTACTGGGCCCATGAGCCATGGCCACTGGGCCTGTGTGTCCGGAGCCTGTGCTCCGCAACGGGAGAGGCCACAACAGTGAGAGGCCCGTGTATAGCCAAAAAAATAAAAAATAAAAATAAAAAATAAAATAAAATAAAATACCCTGTGTGTTTATATTTAATCATCAAATACTTACGGAGAAAAAACAAAGCCATGGGGCTAATCATGTTTGGCTATGACTCTGTTTCAGGAAGTTGTGTCTACTCAGTAGAGAAAGGAGAGAAGAGCAAGATGGCTACAAAGTTGTCCTGTGTGGAGGTTTCATTTGGAGGTACCCAAGGGTTGAAACTTCTTCCTACCTTGTTTTCAGTTTACTAAAGCAGCTGGACTCTAAACAGTAGGAACAGAAGGCAACTTATTCTCTCTCACCATTTCCCTTTAAACAAGTTCTGACAATTCATATTTCTC